AGCTTCAGCTCTCTTTTTCATTCTGAAAAACAAAAAAGTGTCAGACAGGCAGGTGGACACGAAGCTAGGTAAATATTGATGACTTTTTGACCATTTTATTTCCCACCCGCAGATAGCTTTCTGCAGACAGAGAGCCTGTTTATGCTTCAGGGACATTGATTTCCTCCCTACTCTTTATTCATCTTCATTTTCAGCAAATTTAATCTGGAATCTTAAGCACCACAGACCTCCAAAATGTAGTTTGCATATTAAGAAGTAGCTGATTATTGTGGGGTAGAAACACAGATCTTTAATTTTGTGCATTTTAGACACAGCTTCTGGCTGCACCACCATGCTGGAAATAATTGTAGAAATCTACATATTGAGAGGGAGGCTGTCGTCAGGGTCTGTTTTGGAGTGGGCCTCTTGTTATCTGCTATAATTCATGTGGTAGGATGAATATTACCACCTGAATTAGGCTATTATTCTGCCAGGTGGAGGCCAGTAGAGTTACAGGAAGTGGTGATCATCACGTCATGATAATGAAGCAATTACTACAGGCTATTCATAATACAATACTGACTACCACATCGCAGTCGACAGTGGCTTGATATTATGTCATAGATCTTATTTCAAGGTAAATAAATATTACGATCTAATATTCTCTTTCAGTGTTTGCTCCAATGACACATTGTTTTTCTTGAGAGGACAGCCTCAAAATGTTCTAAGATCTTTATAGTGAGCTGCTGTTAAGGCAAATTCACAAGTCTTTTTTAAAGTCTGCATCATCTCACTTGCATGTCTAATGTTTGGGGGTTCCTATCCTATCCTCACCCCTGATAGCCAAAACTGGTGAAACTTATGAACTGCCAGAAATTAAGTCAATAGTTCTGCGAAGAACTCTTTTACATTTGATATTTTCACGGAACCCCCAAAGATAGCAATCTAAAACAGGACACACCAGACTTACACAGTTTTGTATAGGTGTGAAATCCCAGGTCCTGGTTTGACACTTCTTATTGACATGCTATTACCTGTTGCCTTGAGAAATATTGGTGCATCTGCCTGGATTACATAATAAGGAACTTCAGAGGTAAGGAGATGAAACTTGGAAAAAACAGCAGCTGAACAATGCAAAAGTGTCAGAACTGTCTGAGGGTGGTAGAGATAAGATGGGTAGTTCAAGGATATGTAGCTCAAGGTGCATTTATTGTAGTTGGACACTACAGAGACCCTTACAGTGAGTGTCAGATCATCAGAAGCTATTCTTTTGGATTGAAGATCAGTTGATAGTTCAATACCAGTGAACTGCTTTGTCCAAGACGCACTCTGTTGTGTTTGGAAGAAGACCGACACAAATCTGCATGTAAAATGCTGCTCAGCCAGCATGGAGAAGTGCCATATACTGTAGAGGAAAATAAGCCTGAATGTTTGTAAGGACAGTGTTTTTTTTGGGGGGCTGTTAATTACTTGTTAGACAGCAGGTTCAAATATGAGATGCTACACTTTTGCGTCTGCAAAACGGATGTACGTGCCTTAGGATGGCCTATGTCTACTCTAACACAGAGCTTACCACCCTCTTACCACATTCCACCGCCCTAGCCTCCCCTCATCCTCCCCCTACAGTGCCATTGGGCCTGGGTCCATTGCTGCCTCTCTGCTAATGAGAACCAGACCCATCCAGCACCATATAAACCCACTAACACACACTTACCTCTGATCTCAGACCAGTAAACATAGTCACTGTGCCCATGTCCCACCACTTTACAGCTGCTAATTTAGCCACACAGCCCTGTGTTATCATAACCTTTCATGTAAAAAAGAAAGGAAAATAAATTGGTAATGCTGGTGTGTATGGTACTATGGGGACTATTAAATATATAGAACACAAGTATGTAGTCATGGAAAATGTCCACCAGATGTGGGATGGTGTAAATAAATAAATAACAAATATCCAGTATGCGTGTAGTATATGAAAGATATGTGTGTTTATGATGACAGTGCCTAGATACCCATTGGTTACAGCTCTGCTCAAAACTATTTACGATGTTCATGAATGCCTTTTTGGGGTTTAAGGGAGAATTCTCTAGCATTTCAGATGTGACAATTGGCTGCTGTTCTTTATTACATGTTATAGTAAATTTAATATGTTTGGGTGGTTAGTGACGGATGATTAATCGATTTGCTGATTAATCTGGCCGATATTTGGTATTTTATGATAATATACAAAAAATGTATGCGGACAGATCTGCAGGCAGCCTTGTCAGTGTGGCTGCTCCCATATTTTTAACCTTTCTAAAAAGATAAATACCCCCTTGGCTGTATTTGATATGTTACATTCCCTAACAATATAGCAGGTGGCAATATGTAGCGCATTAGATGTAGCCTAACATCTAGTGATGGGAAGTCACTCAAATGGCACCTGCTGATAAAACAAGAAGAATGGAATGGAAGGTTTGAATGAAATGGATGAACATGAGAGGGATGGATTACCTTTCAAAAAGGGAAAAATTGATCTCACTGAATGAGAGTAATTTCTCTCACTTACCCTACCTCTCCAATCCATTTTAGTAATCACTGTCCTCTACCAATTGTCTCACTTAACCAGTAACCTCTCAAAATCACAATTTAAGCATAATGTGTAAGTGATGTACAAATACCGGTATCCTCATTCAAGTATTAGTATGCTAGGACCATTTGTAGATCTGAATTTATATGACTTTTATTTTGCCCTTTTATAATGCACTTCTGACAAACTGCACCCTGCTCTCCAAATGTGATTACTTGCCTTATTCGTTCTTCACCCCTTTACCAGTTTACTGTAAAATGAGACCTCCTGCAAGCTATGAAAGAGCAGAAAGAGGTGGCACAGTGGAATTAAGGGGAAGAATAGCTGATTTTGGTCTATGTTATTGACCTCTGCTTCCAGTGTCTTGTCTGTAGTCAACATCAAGGCACCTTCATTCCCTTTCCCCGTTGTCAGTTTTTTCCCTTTGTAGTGAAACCTACTCTAAATTACAGCCACAATCTTTTTGCACTTCACTTATATTAAAATATATTAGCCTTTTTAAGTGGGCTCTAAGTATGGCTCTTTAACATTTCCCCTGGAGCAGTATGCACAGAATAGACTGATTTCATTTAGATCTCAGTAGCCCCCTCTTACCCCCTACCACTCGGCACTCTGACCTCTGTTCTCTTACCCACTATTTTCCTCTCTAATTTCACTGTTTGCTTTTTTCCCCTCTCTTCCCTATCAATTTGGGCCCTGTCGCTTTCTCTGAAATAACTGTGAGCCCTACATATTTCATCGTTAGTCCACTATTTGCATGGCGGTGTACCATAGTCCCCCCCCATCCAACCTTTGCCATATTTTCTCCGTAAGCCTTTTATGATTACTGTTACCAGTCCAAAATAGTATGTACGTGGAAGCCCTAAAATACTGGAAGCAACCTGAATTGTCTTTAACTGCCTGCTACAGCCGCAACGTCTCAGTGTAGATTAGGCCTGATTGGGACTGGAGGGCATGTGGAAGCGTAGTTGACAGGATTAACAGGCTTTTGAAGTGACTTTAGCTTCTTCTTAGAGAGCAAAAGCTAAGAAAAGAGAATAATTCAGCCCCTCTTTCAACAGAAGGAATACCCCCTCCCTCTTTTTCTCTTGTCTTCCTTAGGCAAAGCACACTATGTACCAATATGATCCCTCGCTGGGTTTCTGATACCCAGCAAGAGTTAGTGAAGGAAGAAGCTGTTTCTCGCTGTAATTAGATATATCAGATCCTAAATCATTAGGGTCAATTGTTTCACGCGCCAGATTGATGAAACAAATAATTAAGACGTGTGTGCAATGAGTATGGTTATTGATGTGCACAGTTGTGTGGGTGTGTCTGGATGGGAAAGGGGACACAAGCCAATATCACTGTGTGTGTTTGTGACTACGTTGACACATTGGAAGTGTGCATGTAGAGGTGGGTGATGCGGTGATGAGCATATCAACAAATGGTCAACGTTGTATTTTATTATGTTTCAATCAAAGTATATAATTTACTTTTATGTTACAGTGAAAAAACATGAATAACTGAATGCACATTTTCACCTTCATTTTGCGGCAGTACACAGTCGCTCAGCCAGTGCTGCTTAAAAAATGTAATGATTCTAAAAATTATCCTAAAAAAAGTTTGTGGCATGCTTTTCTGAACTTGCAAGAGACATCCTCTAAAGAGCAGAGGCACTGCAGAAGCTTTATGAGAAGCAACCAAAACACACTTAAATAAAACAAAGGTTTTTGTATATTTAAGTTATTGGTTGTCCTAATGGCAACAGTTTCTTTAACTTGTAATTTTTTTTATCTGTACTGTACTTACCCTTGAATTTTGCAATCTCTTTACGTGACAGTGTAAAGAGAGAGTGTATAGGATTTGCACCTATTGTTTTCATAGTAGTAACAAAGGTACAGAATTTGGCATTCTAAAACATTGATTACAATAACACAGCTACACTGTGTTTCCTAAACTTAAATTCTTCCATAACTCAGCTCCAACCACTACTGACACCCCTACTCATTCACTTTCTACCCTGCCTGGATATTCAGCAGTGTGGCAACATTAGCATATGACTGGCTCAGTGTTTGGGTGAGTTTGTTCTCATACAAAGAGTGCCAAAGCACAAGTCAACGTCTCCCATCCACTTCAATGGATAGCTGAAGGGCAAACAGAACTCCCAAAATGAAACGTTTCCAGACTTCTGCGCTAGTCTGGAGGAAGAGACCTCCTTCTGGATCTCCATGTGTAATATAAACACTGTAGATATTATGAAGATGAATGCAGCAACAACCTTTAATTATTCATTGCCCTTAGCCCTGTATTGATACTGTGTGTGCTCATGAGTAATGTATGCACCAGAGACATGTATTAATGCATTCATCGTACTACTGTCTGAGTATTGTGTATATTTATGTGCACACAAATGCAGGTATATGTCTGTGTGCCTCTTTGTTCTTAGGTATGTATATATTTATGTTGACAGGGAGAGCGGTTGGCTCCTGCCCGCTGCCTGGCAGTTGTGTACCGAAGCATTGCGTCATCACTATCACTCTGCAGGCCCCTCGCTGCGCTACATACCCCGCAGGGCGGTTCTCTACTGCCCTGGCAATGATGAGCGAAAATTGAGGAAACTAGCCTCGCTGGATGTTGACTGTGCTGTCTTGGACTGTGAGGATGGGGTAGCCCTCAGCAAAAAGGTATATAAATCCACTGATGCACATGTGTAAATGAATTACAGCTTCATATGACCAGGTCAGCAAGGAGCATACAAACACTTGCACACAGCTGTGTGATCCTGTATGATTTTAATTCCAGCTCCCTCCTTCAGACAGGTGCTCGGTCTTTATCACTGAAAGGAAAACTACTTAAGTGAGATGTTTAAAACAAGCACATTTCACCCCATTATGATAGTATAAAGGCAGTGGTGCCCCCCCTATCGGAGTCCTTTAAAACAAGGTGACCATGTCCCACTGGGTGAGCAGCGGGAAAGCACCAGATGCAGCAGGTTAAAAGCATTCTCCTTCCGCCCACACGACCTCCCCATTGGCCCTGCTGAACTGCCCATGAAATTGTGATTGGAGAGTAGGATAAAGAAGGGGCCTGGGTAAAAAGTTAACTAACAAAGGTTTTTAAGTCATGATAATAAAGATGATTGATATGGCTGGAGGCCGTTCCTGTAGTAGACAAAGACAATACGCTGATGGCCTGTGTGAGTGACAGGCTAAAACTGTGACCCTGTGATGGAGTTGGTGGCTGTCAGAGCTTCTGTCTTTATTATGTGTTAGAGGGGAAATGTGGCGAGGAATGCAGCACTGAGGCAGCCATTCAGGCTTGAGGAGAATTAAGACTCTTGACTCTTCACACCGTCAGCATGTAATAAGTCCACGTCTCTATCTTATTTCAACAAAAGTATCCTGCTCCAATCCAGTAACCCACAAATTTTCCATAATACTCCATAATAATTAGACTTTGTCTGAGTTTTGAATATGATACAATTCCATTTTTTCCTGTCCCTGTAAAAGACCTTTTCTCTGTTAGCAGTTAGCTGGTATGGCTGCACATGTAGAGAATAGCATTAGATCCGGGTACAAGCTGTTAAAAATAAAGGGTGACATTTCATTAGCTACAGTGCAGTTCCATTCTTCCACTATTAGCAGTCTGAGTAATGCACATCAAAATACCAACAATACTTTCTGGAAAGTAGAATTGTACCTCAATAGCTCCCTACCTAATAATCCCTTTACCTTCTCTTTCTCTGATCTGGCTACATCAGCACTACACGGTACAAAGCATGACATCAGAACCGATTTCAGCCATTTTTTGACACTATAGCTCCATGTTGGGTTTAGAAGAGTCTGACACAGTGTGCAAAATTCCTGTAACCTATTATGTGTTTGCTAGGTCGTACTGTGCAATATAAAAATTAGTTATTTACTCAATAACAAAATGCACCTTTCCTACTGGCACCCTTTCTTTACTTCCCACACTCTCAGCTTGTTCCTCCACTGTGGCAATTGGAAATCCATGGGGGTCGTTGTGTAGTTATTCCCTTAAGATGATATTTTTTTCCTGTTGGATAAACAGAGTTTACGGGTGTGTGTGTGTGTGTGTGTGTACGTGTGTGTTTCTGTTTGTGTGTGTGTGTGTATGTGTAGGCTGGCAGACATATGTTTTGGATATTAATTTCCATGTTTTGAAATCAATTTGGCACAAAATGTTATTTCACTTTTTCACTAGGTGTTTTCTAAAATTACTTTTTTATTTGTCTTATTTATTACATACAAAGAGGAATTATTTTATATATATATTATAAGGATTTGCAGCTCCTCTTTAGGCGCTAATGAGTAAAATTGAATTTGTCCATAATTGCTTGGGCCCCATTGAGGAAATATTCTGTCTTTGCAGTCATGCAGTATGTGTTTTAGGGTGTTAAGGTTAAGGTGGTTGCAAAATGTGGAGTGAGGGAATAGAAATGGATACTAATAGATGCTGTGCCTGATTTAATCATTGTCGAGGAAATTTTTACATCTGATATTTAATATCTGAGAAATTAAAATGTAAAGACTGGGAAGTGTTTCAGCCAAATTTGTAAGTCATCCTTCTCACACCAGTTTGACGGAACAGATACACATTTATTCAAATTTATACAGCTATATACACAAGTAGTGGTTCATTTTCAAGCTTTATGCATGTAACCGCAACCAAAGCGTATTTTTACGTGAAGTTTATTTTGTTAAATGTGACGTGCATCAGGCTTGTAGCACTGCTAAAATGTGAATGACCTACACTGCCGCACTTTGCCTGAATGCTATCCTTAGTAGACAATGATGGGGTACTGAAGCTGTTGCTGCAGCACTGCTAACATGCTCACTGCCCCCCATGTGTATACACGGTGTAAAATGTCATTCTTTAAAAAAGATCCCTAGGGTGGTTGCACTTAAATTTTTGATGGCGTCTGACTCATGTTACTTTTGAGATGTTAAAGATTTAAGATCTTAAATGGCGGCACATCAGATGCACATGTTGCCGGACGCAAAATTTAGAGCCCCTCACAGTCATTTGTTTGTCTTCTACAATGTAAGATTAAGAGCTGTTCTGCGTTCAGCTGAATCATAAATAAATGAGAGATTTAGCTTTGCACGTTGTGAGTGTGTTGGCACAGACAATTTCTACAGTGTACATTGTAGATGCGATTATTTTCACCATGACAACCGCACAGTCGGCGTTGTGTGTTTGCCAAGAGATGCCAGGCCTCAACAATGGTCTTGCATTGCATGTTTTTTTTCTAAGAACAGAGAAAGGGAGCAATGCAGAGACTGATCTTACTTAACGCCATCCTGAACCACTGTTTTAGATGACTGTAACAATGGGTTAGGTGAAATGCAAGGTTAGTTACTGGGTATGCATGGATAGGCCTTAAATGGGGCTACTGCCCACAACCACCCTCCCATTATGTGTTCATTAATGTATTCTTTTCATTATCTTTCACCTTCACCTTAAAACAGAAAGTGATATTCATGACAAAAGGTATGCCATGAAGGTCAGTCCACCCCCTTCCCTTGCAAATTGAAATCCGGGAGTGCCCGCTTTAATTGCCTGCCGCTTTGACTCCAAAAATGTCTGCGCTCCATCTTGGCAGTAATGCTGGCTGCTTAAGAGGCAGGGAGATGAGAAAAGGAGTAAAGGGTAGGAGCCACCCAGAGCTTGCTAACTGTCACCACAGACCCAGAGGGGAGAGAAGGAGGAGGAGAGAGGGGAGGGAAGACAAGGCTGACTGCTCTAACACTCTTACACATATCATCATATCTGTATGATCAGTGGGGTGGAGGAAGAGGGAGGGCAGGTTGAAACCCCGGAGCGGAACTGACGGCTACACCTGTCCTCTCTCCTCCTCTCTCCCTCGCTGTCTTGTTCTTTCATTGTCCCTCTCTCTCGCTCGTCTCCCCCCGCCAGGGTCCGCAGGGTTAAGATTGTTTATCTCTCTCTCTCTCATGTTCTCTCTGTCTGTTAGTGCCCTATGGTCCAGTATTCCTCTTGGTGTTTCTCTCTCTCCCTCTCTTTTCCCCACATGGGTCCCTCCATCCACCCTGACTCCCCCCTGCCTCCCTGCCGTAGAGATTCTCTCCTAATCCCTGGAAGTTTGGAACTAATGAACTAACTGCTGAGCCGCTGCCACGGAGCTTGGTCCCAAACTATACTGTACTTCACACTCGATTTCCTCTCCAGATGGCATGGTGGCGCGGCCGACACGACGGGGAGCACCTCTCACACACCAGCACGCGCCTGCAAGTGCACACAACACAAGTACACAAGACATGCACAACACAAACATGCACACAGGCAAGTGTGCACATGTAGACATATACGGACGGACATTCACACACAAATGCATCCACATGCACACAAGCACATACACAATTTGTTATAGTCGGCAGCCCACTGTACATCAGTCAAGCATGACAAGAGGACCAGTGTCCTGCATTCACTATCAGTACATTACAGAAGCAGGACCACTTTGTTAGTGCTTAAAATTAGTTAATTTCGTATTTAGACTTCTGTAGATGCTGATCAACCCCCTCAGTAGCTTTTATTAGGCCCACATGGAAACCAGAAACCCATCACTCCTGGAGTTTTACAGTTTTATGAGTACATGGATGTGATTTCAACCACCAAACATGCTTGATTCACCATGTTTAATTGATGCAATTTGTGCACTTAATTTGTTTGATGGTTCTTGTTAATAAAATTACAGGAATTGGGTTTTAGAGGAGAGATTAGAGATTGCAGATTTCATATTTACTGTTCTTTTCATTAATATTAGTTTAATTAAATTTACAGTTAGATAACTAACAAAAAGCATGTTTTACTGCAAGATATGATATATCTTACAGAAACAGATACACAGATACAGAAAGTTCTAATAATTATTAATTACCAGTAATCTTCATGTCTTACTTAAAGGGGCACTATAAGACCATAGCACACCATAGGTTATATTGCAATCCTATGCAGCAAGACAAACTACAGGGTAAGCAATTAGTTGAGAGTCAAATCAACACCTTCCAGTCACAATCTTAACAAAGAATGACAATTATACATTTATTCTAGGTCTATTGTATTATAAGGAACAGGTGTCACGCACCCCATTTAATTTAACAGTAACTCTAACTTATTATGCAGGCAAGGCAGTCAAAATCCTAGATTACATCTGGTCTATTGAGTCTAACCAAATTACAAAAGTAAGGTGAATTTGAAAGGTAAAATCACATTTACTTGTCTAGTAATGTTTCCATTTATTTTACTGAAAGACTGTTCTGACACTCTTTGCTTTGAGTTCTTTAATCAGTGACTGATGGTTAATTGTATACAGTAACATGTCAAGGTTTAGGCAGGTGTGGAAAATGCTGTTAAGTAAGAATGTTTTCAAAAAATAGACATCTTAATAGATTATATTTATCAATTAGCAAAATGAAACACGAGTGAGCAAAAGAAAAATCTAAATCAAATTAATATTTGGTGAGACCACCCTTTGCCTTCAAAAAAGCATCAATTCGTTTAGGTACACAAGCATATACTTTTTGAACGAACTCTGTAGGTTGGCCCAAACATCTCTGAGAACTACCCACAGTTTTTCTGTGGATTTAGGCAGCCTCATTTGCTTCTCTCTCTTCATGTAATCCCAGACAGACACGATGAT